TATATATATATATATATATATATGGGGAAATATGATAAGTTTCCCTTGAACTTTTAGTAACAAATTTGATATATCTGCTTCAAATCTTGTGACTTCTTATTAATCTAAAAATTGGAATTTTCAAAACAATCAACTCTCTCATCTTTTTCATTTTTTTGAAGGAAAAAGTTTATATAAGGATTCAACCTTACAATGTAGTACTACGGATGCAACTCAAATATCCATCGGAAAAGGTAGTTTTAATGTTGAAAAACCCTTTGATTGATCATCTCGACATCGAGATGTATGACCATGAAAAATAAAAATATTTTAAGTCTAAAAAGTAGGTCATTTTACAACATATTATCTACATCGTCCATTTTCAAGATTTTCATATGTTTATAGATCTACTTGTTTTAACCATTTTTGAAATTTTAAATTTTATAATTAGATATAAAAATAGATTTTAAGATAATACGAAGAATATTTTACAACTAAATTATATACCATGATAAAATTTGAAGGTGCACCTTACCTCTATCCGTATGCCAACTGCACCCTTTTTTAAATCATCGCACATTTTATTTGTTTGATCATGAGAAGAAATGGTGAGATATGTCCAGACATATTCTTTAGTGAATTATATAATTTCTTCTTAAGCAATATAAAGAAAGCCAAAAGTTTTCCGACGGAGAGCACACTATCTATTTGCTTCCTTGCAAAACTGACTTTAATAATATCTTTTCTATCTCAAATTTTAGGGATGTGAAATCTATAATGCGGAAAACAAACTCAGAAAAAAAAATTAACTTCCACTGTCTATGTACCTAAAAAAAATATCATCCCAAGATTTCACTAGAACCGTCTAATTTTTTAAGAGAATGATCTAGATGTTTATGAACTCAAAATCTAAATTTTTTTTCCTTTGAAAATAATCATCTAGTTATAATTAGATAGATCCCCTAATAAAATACAGATAAAATAAAATAAATCCTAAAGTGGTGTTGTGCCTGATGGTGTAAATGTATAATATACTCTCAAGGGAGCATAGTGATGATGACTATAATATACCCCCTACCCAGTTAATTGGGCTCCGAAAGAGCATAGTACATAAGCTTAAAAAGAAAACATTTCTTTTCTCAAGCAATCACACATGACTCTAGTCCTAGAAGCAACGTCGTGTATACCATGAGGACTTCAAACAAAAGTACTATCGAGCTATGTTCGAAAAAACGAACCTTAGAAACCGGCTAAAGGTTGGGTCTGAGTAACCGGTAAACTGACCGATTCAATTAGCCTAGTCGGGCAGGTCTTGGCTTGTTAAAAAAAATATTAATTTTTTTTTAAAAAAAATACAAAATAATATAAAAAATTGATTTGTACCTATGAGTATTTTTAAACTTTAATAAAAAAATAGAAAAATATAAAAATAAGTTGCCAAAAGCCCAAAACACTTTCCAAAACACATTACAAACAAATTTCTTATTTTTTTGGGAGTTTACATATTTATTTTTGGAATTTCTTTTAATATACCTAGCTAGAGTACCAAAACAAAATGGGCCAGCCTGGGCCAGCCGGTTCTGAATTGGACCGGCCGAGTTTGCAATCACTACTGGACTTCAGACAAATTTATTTATAGTCGGTTTCCTGACAAATTTACGAGAATTTTAAAAAATTTATTTATAGTCGGTTTCTTGACAAATTTATTTAGAGTCGGTTTTCCTGGGGACGAAAATTTTAAAAATGCTTTCTTGGGGACGAGAATTTTAAAAAATTTATTTATAGTCGGTTTCTAACAAATTTATTTATAGTCGGTTTTCCTGGGGATGAGAATTTTAAAAATGTTTTCCTAGGGACGAGAATTTTAAAAAATGTTGATTCAGATCAGTATTTTAAAAATCTCTCGGCGATTCTGTACAGTAAATCACGTCAGAGAGAGGGAGTCCATAAATCGCCCGACGATTCTGCACAGTAAATCACGTCAGAGAGAGGCAGCCCACAAATCACCCGGCGATTCTGCACAATACATCACCTGGTGATTCTGCGATTCTGCACAGTAAATCACGTCAGAGAGAGGCAGGCCACAAATCGCCCTGCGAGGCGATTTTGCACAATAAATCGCCCAGCACAGTAAATCACGTCAGAGAGAGGCAGTCCACAAATCGTCCCGCACAGTAAATCACGTCAGAGAGAGGCAGCTCACAAATCGCCCGGCAAGGCGATTCTGCACAATAAATCGCCCAACGATTTTGCACAATTAATCACGTCAGAGAGAGGGAGCCCACGGATCCGCACGGCTGAGAGAGGGAGCCCACAAATCGTAAATCACATCAGAGAGAGGGAGCCCACGGGTCCGCACGCTTCGTGCGGCCCTAAGTTCTTTCACGCACGTGTGCTCACGATCCGCACGCTTCGCATAATCTCATTGCTTCACACGCACTATAAATGGTGAGTACAAAGAACTATTTATTCATATAGATTTGCTTCTCTCTCTTCGATGTGGGACTATGTGAATAGGTAATACCTTAAAATGTTCGTATATTATATATTTTGTTAACGGTTTTATAAACACTAAGTTGCACGTGCTATACCAGTTATTGTGTGCCCTCATTATGAATGAGACGGACATGGGTTTGATTCTTTTGAGGAGCTGTTTTTTATGTCAAAACTTTTTCTTATAAAAAAATTTAAGGCATTTTCTTAAAAAAAAAAAAAAAAAGGTTTTATGAATTTAATTTTTTTTTCTTATAAAAAATTAAAGGCTTTTTCTAAAAAATAAAAGGTTTTTATCAATTTCACTTTTTGTCTTTTTTTTTTTCTTATCTACAATATAAAAAGTTTCGTATAAAAAAAATGAAAGGTTCTTATCAATTCTTTTTCTTGTAAAAATAAATAAAAAATTTTGTCAAAAAAATAAAAAGTTATTGTCAAAAAACAAAAAGTTCTTATAAAAAAAAAATACAAGAAGTATTTTTGTCAAAAAAAACTCATTTCTTATTTTTCTTAAAATACTTTAATATTTTTGTCAAAAAAAACTCATTTCTTATTTTTTTCGAAAATAGAACAAGTATTTTTGTTAAAATAAGTTTATACAGAGAAAAAAAAAACTCAATATTCACATATTGATGAAAAAAATGAAAATTAATAATATAATACCCTGATTTCTTATTGGATTCTTAAAAAACAACATTTATAATAAATTTTAATAATTTATTTAGATTTTTTTAAAGCTTAATGTGACCGATTCCTACCGATTTCCGATTCGGATCTTCGGATGGTTTTTGGGTGCCCGATATGGTCACCTATCCATTTTTTAAAATTCAGATTAAAATTCCATGGGATCCGGTCCGATTCCTTGTTAGAATAATGATAATCAATAAAAAATCAGTCTACTTCCCCTAAAATCGTCTCGAGGGGACGAAACAGTTGCATAAAAAAAAACCGTGTGACTCAAAATGCGAGCGTTTTTTATATATTTTTTTACCATTGGATCGACGATCCAACTCGGCCATTGGTTTTCATTTGCAGTATTCCGATTTACTCCGACGAGCAAGCATCAAAAACAATGAACAGTAAATAACATGGCCAACTCTCTGTCAACGCGCAGGCGCAGATCTCCGTAACCAATCTCTCTCTAAGCCCGAATCAATCCCTCCGTCCTTAACTTGTAAACTCAATTCAATGTTTCCCTGCCTCTCCTCTGATTTCTCGACTCCTGAACTCTGAAAACAAATCTCTTCCTCTCTCTGTTTCTCCTGCTCTAACTCTAAAAAGCAAATTTCTCTCTCTAAAAAAAGCCTCTCTCTCTCTCTAACCAAGGCCATGCCCTCCTGCTCCACCCTCCACTCCCTCTCCTACCTCCTCCTCTCTCTCTCCACCCTCTCCTCCTTCTCCTTCCTCTACTGGTCCTATCATCCCAGCAACCACTGCCCTCAACCCCGGTCCCAGACCCAGACCCAGACCCCCCCTCTCAACCTCCTCTCTCTCTCCACCGCATGGAACCACCTCTCCTTCTCCCCTCTCTCTCCCTCCTCAACCCCCCTCACCCTCGCCCTCTTCGTCAAAAAAATGGCCCCATCCCTCTCGAGCCGGCGGCCTTGAGCGCCACGCCCTCACGCTCCACCTCGCCCTTGCGGAACGCGGCCACCAAATCCATATTTTCACCACCACCCCTCAAAATCCCCCTCTACAACCTTCCCCTCACCCTAACTTGCACTTCCATTTCATCAAACCCACCCCTTCGGGCTTCCTCAACCAAGCCCGAGCGGTGGACAAGTTTCGTGAGCTCAACAGAACCCATCTATTCGATCTAATCCACACAGAGAGCGTCGCCCTCTCACACGCGAACGCGCTCACCATGCAGTGCAATGTTGTGGCCTCGTGGCATGGCTTCGCGTACGAGACGGTGAGCTCCGACCTCGCGATGGACCTTACGCGGGAGCCCAAGGAGCCACGCCCCCTGAGCCTACACCAAAGGCTGGCCTCTCGCCTCTTCTGGATCATCGATGAGATCAATTTCTTTGGTGATTACTCGCACCATGTTGCAACAAGCGACCACGCAGGCGATGTACTGCGGCGCGTCTACATGCTGCCCCCAGATCGCGTTCATGTCATATTGAACGGGGTCGACAATGGTTTTTTCCGGCCAGACCCTCCTCGCGGTGCAATTTTTCGCCGAAACTTCGGAGTCCCTGAAAATGCCAGTCTGGTGTTTGGGTTAGCAGGGAGATTAGTTAAGGACAAAGGCCACCCCCTCATGTTTCAAGCTCTTATACAAATTTTGAAAGATCGCAATAACAGTGGAGTTTTTGTATTGGTTGCAGGGGATGGGCCATGGGGGAAGAGGTATAGAGAATTGGGGCCAAATATATTAGTTTTGGGACCTTTAGAGAGAGAAAGGCTTGCTGGTTTTTACAATGCATTGGATGTTTTCGTGAACCCCACGCTTAGGGCTCAGGGTCTAGACCATACTCTGCTTGAGGCCATGGCCTCTGGTAAGCCGGTTATGGCGACTGGTTTTGCTAGTATTACAGGTTCGGTGATTGTTGGTGAGGAGGTTGGGTACACTTTTTCACCTACTGTTGAGTCTTTGAAAGTTTCTCTCTCTAGAGTTTTAGCAGAGGGGAAAGGGGTTTTCGATAAGAAGGGGGAGAAGGCTAGAGAGAGAGCGGCGAAGCTCTTCACTTCTGCGAAAATGGCGGCCGCTTACGAGCGCCTGTTCCTTTGTCTCTCTCCTCGTCACAGAAAAAATGGTGGATTGGATTTTTGTCGATACCCACTTCCCTCTGATCAGTGATAAAGCATGCTCTGTTCCTCTCTCTAGAACCCCTGTTTCTGTGGATTTCTCTCTCTATAATATATCTTTAGAGAGAGAGAGAGCTGGTGCTCTTCTGTTTTGTGCTAGCCAAAAAGAGGAATTGCATTTTCGTGGACGCCCACTTACCTCTGATTAGATATTAAAGATTGAGCGTGCTCTTGTTTCTCTCTCTACCCCTGTTTCTCTCTCTAGCTTATCTGCTTCATTGGCCTGATTTTTTCTTTTATTTGATAGATGGCGTCTGCTCTTTTGATTTCATATCGATAATGGGCCATTAACGAAGCAAATGGAGCTTCCATGGCTAAAAAATAATGGTGCTCATACTCATGAGGAGACATCTATGCTCAAAAATACCAGCTTTCTGATAGTGGTACCTCCATTAATGGTTAGTGGAGCTTGGTAGGTGCCATCACCCAACTCGACCGACCATATTCTCGAACTCCCCTGCTTCACTATAAATTCACCCACCATTAGAGAACTCAACATAGGTCCAAAGTTTCAGTAAATCTTAGTGAGTTTCGAAGAAGAAGAAGAAGGCATAGGAAAAATGACGATTAAATCAGTTCTGAGCTTGTTGGGTTTTCTTCTTCTTGTGAGTTTTGTTACAGAGAGAGTTGCAGGGGCCGGAGAATGTGGAAAATCCTCGGTAGATAGCCAAGTATTTAAGCTTGCTCCTTGTGCTGAAGCAGCTCAAGATGCAAATGCGGTGGTTGATAGCAGCTGCTGTGCTCAAGTGAAGAAATTGAGCCAAAAACCAAGTTGTCTGTGTGCTGTGATGCTCTCTCCAACCGCGAAGAGCGCAGGGGTAAACCCAGAGGTCGCCGTTACCATTCCCAAGCGCTGCAACTTCGCTGACCGCCCCGTCGGATACAAGTGTGGAGGTGGGTCTAGCCGTTTATTTTAGTTTAGATCCAATAAGCCATTGACTGTTTGATCTAGAATACAAGTGTGGAGGTGGGTCTAGCCGTGTATTTTAGATCCGATAAGTCATTGACTGTTTGATCTAGATCCGGCGCTCTCCACATAAAACACACCCTTTTTTCTCATTTTATCCATCTTCCCCTAAGTTATCCATCCCACATAAAACACACCCTTTTTTCTCATTTCATCCATCTTCCTCTAAGTTATCCATCCCTGTCTTTCGCTTAACTTTTCTATCAGGGCATGGCATGGCATGTTTGGTACGCGAGAAAATATTTAGATGTGGGAGTTTCTTCGCACCAATTAATCCCATTGCATTTTAGATGTGGGAGTTTTTTCGCACCAATTAATCCCATTGCATTTTTTTCATACCAATGAACAACCATTTGATGTAAAAAAACACTCCCACATACTAGAAGCAGTTTTTTCAAGAAAAAAACATACTAGAAGCAGTTTTTTCAAGAAAAAAATACTTTCACCCGAGTATTTTCGCACGTACCAAAAGTGCCCTTCATTCATTTGATTTCCCCTTGTGATTTACTCATGGTTTGAGGACCGATAAACTTGATTTGTTTTGTTATGGTTTATATTTTATACTGAAGGGCCTTATTTTTTCTTTTTTGAAAGTATTACCCAAACTTTTATTTATCAAAACCAAATAATTACAGCTTCTTTTTTAATGTAGTACTAATGGCCTTAGCTTTATTTCGTGTTTCGTTTTCTTCTCACGATTTATTGGTGGCCATGAACTAATAATGGACATGATTTGTTTTTTGTTTTTGTTGGTTTTGCAGCCTATACTCTGCCTTGAAGTGGACAAGAGAGAGAGCGTATGCTACTAGGATGCAATGCTCTTATAGAAAATGATGTACTTATTGTAATAAAGTGGGCTTGTCCATAACTAATAAAGTCTTATACTTCTCAATATAGTTTGTGTTGACAACCTAACCGTTATTTAGTTTGTTATGGCACTAAATGCTGACACCACATGAAGGAGTAGGTGCTTAGTGTAGAATTTTAAATTTGTGAGAGAGAGATTTGATAGCAATTGCAGCAAATTCTAGAATACGGGTTAAGGTTACCGTAGTAGCACTACTTGAATCTCAGCTATCGATCTAAGTTTTTATTCCCACTGATGTATTACAAAACCACTAATTATTTCTAAAAATGGGTAGGGACCTATATTCCTCATTGATCTGCAAAAAAAAAAATTTGTAGCAAATTCAAGCAATTGAGCATTTTGGTAGTGAGGATTCAATAATAAAACTAAAAAACGGGCGGTTATAGAAAAAGAGATATGCAATCGTTTGCTATCCTGAAATTTTCTTGTCTTTTCAATCTGCAATAGAAAAAGGTAAACTTAATTTCTCTTTAACATTGTTCGTCACGAAATAACCAACCAGAACAAAAGAAGGCTTAGTTTATCCAACCCCGATCAGAAAAAACTTAACACTAGGTATTTTATATTCAATCCGATCCGATCCGAGAGAGAAAGAGAGTTCTATTAGAAGTCCCATGGGAAGTGATTTAAAATCGAAGGAATATCTACGAAATCAACGGGCTTCTTCTTGGGCTAAAATGGAAGTTGCCGTGACGTTTATTTGAATAGAGGGTATACTACTTTTCCCGCAGGAGCATACATTATGCATCTAATTCCTCACTCAAAAGATCTATTTGGAAGAATCGTTTCGATCTGAAATTCTTTGGAACCATTTAAGAATCACTAGATGATTATTTATCAAAAATAAATAAATATTGAATATTGACTGTTTTTTACTCTAAATCTCACCCTCCAAAAATTGGAGGTTTTTGTTCAATCTTGAGACATTGTGTTTCTTTTTATAGCAGGTTCAGTTCAAAAATTTTCGTACTATGAGTGATATATGGGTTGAAGAGATTGTATCCTTAAAATTTTAGGTTTTTAAAATTATGCTGACGTTGGGGTTTTACTTGAGGAAGTAAATACACAATATGCTCCTGCTAGAGTATAACAACTTTTGGCATATTTGTGTCTCAAGTTTGTCCCACATCTAAAGTTGTCAATAGTGTACATAATATAAAATGGCCACCATCGCACTCTACCCACGTCTCTTTGGAGACATCCGATAAAATTGGAACGATACAGAGAAGATTAGCATGGCCCCTGCGCAAGGATGACACGCACAAATCGAGAAATGGTCCAAATTTTTTTTTAACAATTCACAAATATTGAAAAATGTTTTATGTTTTTATGTAAATTTCTATTGTGATCATTTCAGTTTCTAACTTTATACTTTTCATAAGATAAAAAGTTTTATGTTCGAACAATTTTATAGAGATTGAGAAATGGTCCAATTTTTTTTGTAAAATTCTGTTTTTATAATTTTATAAAGATGACACACACGAATTGAGAAATGATCCAAAGTTTAAATTCTTTTAATGAATTTATAATGATGAACTTAACGTCCAAATTTTTCATGAATATTGTTTTAATTACTTCATAAAAATAAACTCAATTAATTAAAGAGAAAAACATAAAATTAATTTGTTGAATTTCATTACATAGAGAAATGGTCCATATTTGTTTTTATTTTTTTGTTTTAACACTTGTGTAGAGGTAAAACATTTCCCATTTCAACAGTTTACAAATCTTGAGATATGGTTGAAACCCTTTCTAATAAGTTTTATTTGCTTCCTAACTTTCTGTTTCAATAAATTAACAAATATTTTAGAATAGAAAAGAATTATTCTTTAACAATTTAATAGAGATTGAGATGTGGTCCAAACTTTTTTGTAAATTTTTGTTTTACTAGTCTATAAAGATGACAAGCACAAATTGAGAAATGGTTTAAAATACTTTTGAAGTTTAAATACTTTTAACATGCTTATAAAAAGGGAAAAGTTTATACAAAGCCGAGGCTCTAAACAATCAAATTTGAGCCTACCCCAAAAATTTCACTAGAAGAGTGTTTGCTTTGATGCCCAAATATCTTCAAATTGACCATTTCGCCATCAACATGCATGGACATGAGAAAAAAATGGATTTCAAGTTTTGGAAATAGTGTATTTGTAACACAATTTTGGCCCGTCAATTTTTAAGATTTTCAAGTTTTCATAGATTTGTCAATCTACACTATTTTTGAAGCTTTAAACTTTATAAATAAATATAAAAATATATCTTAAGGCTATCACAAAGGTTTCCAATATTAAAACCACATTTCTCGATACCATTTGAAGGTAGGCTCTAATTGGATTGTTTAAAGCCTAGGCTCTATACAAACTGCACCCTTATAAAAATGAACTTAGTGTCCAAAGTTTTTATGAATTTCCTTTTAAAATCAATCGATTGAGAAAATTAAAATAAAAGCAACATGTTGAGTTACATATTTGAGTTAAATTTGAACGACTTTCAAATTGGGATTTGATAAAGGGTGCGGTTTGTATAGAGCCTAGGCTCTGAACAATCAAATTAGAGCCTACCTTCAAATAGTTTCAAGAAATGTTGTTTCAATACTGAAAATCTTTATTTATAAAGTTCAAAGCTTAAAAAATAGTGTAGATCGACATATCCATGAGAACTTGAAAATCTTGAAAATTGACGTTCCAAAAATTCGTTACAAAGTACACTATTTCCAAAACTTGAAATCTATTTTTCTCTTATGTCCATGTATCTTCATGTCGAGATGATTGATTTGAGGATAGGGCATCAAAACAACCTCTTCTAATGAAAATTTTGAGGTAAGCTCTTATTTGATTGTTTAGAGCCTCGACTCTATATAAACTTTTACCTTTCATAAATAAGGCGATCTTTATAAACGTTTTCCTTATGAAAGGCTTTCATACGCAAAGTAACAAAGTAAAATTACCATTTGTTATTCTTTTCCCAAAAGACTTTCTACTCCCACGGGAGCACTAGGAAAACATATGCCAGGATATTTTGGGAATATAATCTTTACAAGTTATAGACTAATTTCAATTTTTTTTAAAAAATCCCAAATAAGCTCTCTATGTACTAGAAAAAACTAGTGCCTCGAGATTGAATCGAGACTATCTAATTTTGAAGAGCAAGATCTAAGTGTCACAAAACTTAAAATAGAAATAAACATCTTATAATTCTTATATGGTTTTCAAATTTTAGAATAAATTTTTTTTTGTAAATAGGTTTTTGGCCAGGGAGTAGATGCACTTCATACTCCAGTGGGATAATATTTTTTATCTACTCTATTCTTTTCATATGCATGTTTATAGTTAATCAACAAATATATAGCAATTATTTTATAATTAAGTGTTTTATAAAGTAATTATTTTATTTCCTTACTATATCCATGTTCATATAGTACTACGGAACTTAGAGGTGAACAACAAATTTAGATAAAACAAACCATGCACCCATATTTAAATATCCAGCCAATTATCTTTCCCATATGCAAAATCAAAATTCTCACATGAACGCTATTGTATTTTACTTTTTTTTTTTTTTCTTTTTTTTTTTAAGTTGAGTGGGGAGAAGGTCCCCCTACTGGATTTTTTTTTTCTTTTTTTTTAAAGTGAGTGGGCACCTCCCCTACTGGATTTTCATTAATAAGTAGAGAAACAACAATAGTTTAACAAACCTACCCTAGGGATTTTGTGCAACATCCATAAGTAGGATTTATTTCTGGTTAAATATTGTACTTGTATTCTTTGTTTTTTTTTGGGTTATTTCTAGTTAAATATTGTACTTATATTCTTTGTTTTTTTTGGGTGAGTCAACAGGGAGAGGGCTCCTACCCTAGTAAAAATTGAGCTTAGGATATAGTGTTGCAAGTCATCAAGCACTAACCAATCAAACCCAAGCTCTTTCCCTAATATTATGTTTGCATTCAAGTTATATCAAACAGAAAACCGACATTAGTCCAATGCTGTTTAGTTGGCTTCTTTCCAACATAGAGATTCCTCTCATGGAAGATATGTAACATTTGGCAGCGTACTATACAATTGCCCTCCATTTGAGAGCATACTCTACACTTGCCCTCCATTTGAGAGCATACTCTACACTTGCCCTCCATTTGAGAGCATACTATGCCCTTACTCCTCAAGGCAAGAGAGACTCAAGAGGATTTTTTTTATTTTTTTTCTATTGAGTGCAGAATTAAGAGGATTTTTTCAACCAAAAGCACGAGATCCACGTTAACCACATAATTATTTGCAAAAAATACAAAAATAAAAAAAGATAATCTGATCCAACCATTCAAAAATTGAATGATACCAATTTCATCTTAGGATCTGATATTTTTTTTTTTACATATAGAGTTCGAATTATATTTTGTTCCTTTCTAGAATTGGTCACGTAGTTGAGGAGGGCTCAAGACTTGGGGTTCTCTAGAATTAGGAATGAATGAACCATATGTTTCCTATGAGTAATCTTTTGGCTTACGTTTGTCAAGGGAAAATATATAAAGAGAACTTCAGTGTGACCAAGGGGCTACTTTGAAGCCTTAAACATTAGGATACAATAGCAACCACACCTCACTTTTACTAGTTGATTCCATTGATTTTCCGTTTTTACTTATTGGAGTTGTTTCTAATTACATTTTTCCGTTTTTACTTATTGGAGTTGTTTCTAATTACATTTTTATAATGAGCGTGAATAACTTTGACATCCATGTACAAACGATAAATGGTCTCTTTGTAGACAATCTCATATATATAT